TTGCAGCTCCTATTCATGATAGCTCGCAAGCCATATATGTCTAAACTACATCCCTCTGTCAAAAGAGAGATGTAAATTAGGCAGATCGAAAGTGCAAATGAAGTGGGAATTTAAATATCCTGTGCTTCATTTACATAATGGCATCCGAGTGCTTTTTTGAAAAAGGGTTTTTTGAAAGCGTTGTCTAGATGCAGTTTGTTTAAAAAAAAAAAAAAAAAATCTTTTTCGAAAGATCCCGTACTCCCCGGGGGTTTTTTCTCCCGAAAGAACCACGTCTAGATGGCACTTTCACTTTTGAAAAACCCTTTTTCAAAAAAGCACTCGGATGCCATTATGTAAATGAAGCACAGGATATTTAAATTCCCACTTCATTTGCACTTTCGATCTGCCTAATTTACATTCCTCATTTCGAAAGAGGGATATAGTCTAGACATAGCCTTAGGAGCCAAATATAGATCGCAGCTCGAGCTCAGCTCCCACTTGCTCCTGCCCCCCTCTCCTCCTCCCCACGGGAACACGTATTGACAATCCAGCCTCATGCCCTCTCCATCTTCTCCAAGATTGGAGCCAGCATTGGCTCTCTGGATAGAGGGGTGGAGAAAACCCCTGTCTTTCCTAGATTTTAAAATAACCTTTTAATCTGGGAAGTGTCTCTCCTCTCAGAGGACACGGATGCACTTGCTCATGAAATCTCGGCAACTAACTGTGCCAGATGCACTTAAGCAAGCTGGGGCTGGGTGGGGAGGGCAACTAAAATGGAGGTGGAGGATCTGGGCTTTGGGAATGATGAGCAGCTGGATTTCCTGAAGGAATGGCACATGCACTTCTTCCAGTGCTGCCTACAGATCCTGCCCAAGAATATGACTAGCAGGTACTAGACAAGCTGGGGAGGCGATGGGAGCGGGATGATGCTTCTGCTCCCAGGCTGCCACCGGACACCGGTATGTGCGAGGCTGAGGGGGCCCGTTGGAGCTGTCTCAGGGCCCACCCCATTGAGACACCTCAAGGTTGAATTCTGCTCATTGCTCGCTCCCAGGCCGGGGATCCTGCTGCTGCTCCATTGGCCAGAATCCAGTCAATGGAGCAGCGGAAACCCATGTCTGGGACAGGGAGCCTGAAAGCAGCACTGATGCAAAAAAGCAAGTAAGTGCCATGCAGACCCAATACACCCTGAACCCTCCCCTGCACCGACACCCTACACCCCCAGCCTGCTCCTGCCCCCTCCACCCTAGCCAAACACCCACCTGCACCTGCCTCCTCCCCCCCACTAGCACCCTACCTCCCACCCAGATCCTGTACCCACATCCCTATCCCATTCACTGGCAGCTCTGTCCTTCACACTGGACCCCACATTTTTGGCCTTACCCCAGAGCCAGGGGGGGTCACAAAATCCACTAATCCTGGAACCCCAGAAGAGTTGGAAGTTTTTGGAGAGGTTGGTTGTGGGGGGTTGAGGGTTTGTTTGGGGGTTTTTTTGCGCTTCTCATTTGTGTGGCCCCCGACTGATTTTTCTGTGGGACAGTGGCCTCTTGCCCAAAAAAGGTTCCCCACTTTTGCCATAAAGAAAGACAATGTTGAAACGTTTTGTGTTGGACATATTACTTTACTTTATTTAAAAATGAAGCTTGGCCAACAAGCCCTCATCTGGCTGCAGCATCCCCTCCTGCGCCCCCCACACATCCCAGCCCTGAGCCCATCATATACCTGAACCCCTTGGCCTGAGCCCATCATACCCCTATTTCCCCAAACTCCTGCAATCCCACATCCCTAGTCCCCTGCCATAACACTCCTGAACCCCGCACACACCCCAGCTTCGTACCCTGAGCCTACATCATACATCCAAATCCCCTGGCCTCAGCCCCTCATACGTGATCCCATCCAGACTCCTGTACCCCCACATCCGCAGCCCCCAACTTAAGATTGACAGAAGGCAGCCTGAATGCGTGCACAATGCTGGATTTGACTAGTTATGAAGTAAACTTCAAAAAAATGGGCAAAAAGATGCAGCAGCAGAAGTCCCATTAAATAAAGTCTGTGAGTACAATGTTTTCATTTGTTATTATTAATCATTATGTCAATTATCAATAATATTAAGCTTTATATTTTCAGTCATGCAAATGGACATTCTTATTCAGCTGTTTGCTGTAGTTTGACTCTTTGGTTTGAAAAGTTTGCCAACTCCTGATCTACAGAATGCCACGGAGGCAAACATCTCCAGCATCCATGTACAAAGCACAAAAATACTTAGCACAGAATGTATACATGCAAGCACTCAAAGAAGAAGTATAGCTGAAAAGGCCTAACTGGTGTAGTAAGATCAGATGACTTTCTTGGGAATAGGAAGGGGGAAGATACTCCAGGATATTGTAAAGAACAAAATATATTTGACTATTTAATATTATGTAAGTAACAGAGAAAATCTTGTATCTTATTTTCTTTTCTGCTTTTAATAGGAACTACTTTTCCCAGTGAAAGGCTGTTGTCCAAACCCTTACAAAATTAATCAAGTGGTTGAAAGCATTCATTCAAGTTTTTTCAGAAAATTAGAAATAGGACTTTTTTTATAATGAAATGCTTCCTCATTCAGAAACATAGTATAATGTGGCTCTGAATTTGTAAGGAACTTCACAAATTATATCTGGGCCATCTTTGGCATTTTTGCTTTGTTCACCCCATTCTGACTTACATGGCCCAATAGGCAATAAAACTAGAGCAGGGGTGGGCAATAATTTTTGGTAGGGGGCCACGCCAAGATTTTGATCAAGGGCCGCACTTTTCTGTGGAGGGAGTACGGGGTCGAGGTTGGAGGATAGGTGCAGAAGGGAGTATGGGACTAGGGTGCAAGAGACGCTGTGAGGTCTGAGAGGGTGCTTGAGTGGAGGAGGGGGTTGTGACCTGGGTCAGGGATTGGAGTGTAGGGTCAGGGAGAGTGTGTGGGTGCAGGAGAGGGTTCTGGCCTGGGAGGAGTATAGGAGGGGATACATAGTCTAGGGGGGAGTTGTCACCTGGGACAGCGAGTGCAGGGGGTTTGGATGGTGATCTGGGGGAGGGAGCTGGGGTGCAGGAAGGGTTGAGGTGCCAGAAGCAGGCACTGGCTGGGAGGAGTTTACTTAAGTGTCTGCTGACCAACAGGCTGCAGCACCCCTGGGCTTTCTGCCTGCTTGAAAATACAGGCTACTTGACTCTCAGCTCTGAATGGGGGAACAGGTTTGCACTGCCCCAGTCTCTCAGGCCAATCTCTCAGCTCTGATTGGCTGGCTGTTTCTAGCTAATAGGAGCTGAGAGATTAGCTGAGGTCCATTCTTATTGGCTGGTTGTTTCTGGTCAACAGGAGTTGAAGATTGGGTTGGAGGCGGGGAGATCATACAAAGCCTCCTCGTCTCTAAAGAGCAGGGAGACACAGGAACTGTATTTTAAACCGCAGCAGCTGTGAGTGCTCGAGGATCCCAGCAGGGTGGTCTGTGGCTGGATCCCATGGCTTGGCAGGCCAAATCCAGCCCCGGGGCCGTATTTTGCCCAGCTCTGAACTAGTCATAAAGACTGCTGCATGCACTTTCCATCATGTCCCGTAACTGCTCTGCTCAATCAGCAGCAGAGCAGAAACGAGGTTTTGAGCAAGCTCAGGGGCCTGACCAATTCATTTGTGAAACATATCATATGTGTAAACCATACAACAGATGTAATAGCTGCTGTGGAAACAGTTTCATTAGATCTTTACAGTTTAGAAAAGCAGGAAGAAAGATTCCCAGCACCTATACATAAATCTGGTTAATCAGAATTTGAACAGAAAGGAGGATTTATGCTTATCATTGCTCTGCCATAATGGTCTGTTGTCTCTGAAGCACTTAGAGTATGTTTGAATTGCAGCTGGAAGGTGCAATGCTCAGGGACATGCTGACTGCCATTTCCTGCAAACAGCAAACCGCAGCCACTGAGAGTTAAGGGACTCCATGCCTGCAGACACTCAAGATACACAAAACGTGTCGGCATGCCAGTGGCTTCTCCTGATAGTCTTGGAACTAAAGTTTTCCAACCCTGGTTTATGCCGAAAATGTAAACTGATACCACTATTTGATGTGTCACTTTTTTACCAAAAAATGTGGCTTATGAATGAGTATATACAGTCAATCTTCTGGCTCCAGTGCAAAGATACCTTTGAGTATCCTCAAGAGATACATGACACAGATCTCACCGCAATTCATCAGGCTGTTTAAAATTCAGAAGTCAAACTGTATTCTCCCACATACCAGTGATTTTTCTAAAGTAAATATGCTGAAGAGCGAATGTTGTTGGCACTATTTTAAATAGGAGACAAAATTTTCTTTGTTTGGTGTCTTTTAGGTGAACCTCTAAAATAATCTAGAGTGCAATAGAGCAGAATGCAAAGCTGCTAAGATATTTTACAAGGATTTCTTGTTTAGCATTCAGAAAAGTGATCCTAATGTGATAGTCACTTTTTGTTCATATTGAGTTGGTCTGGAGTTTTCTGGATTTTTTAAATTGTTTCCCATCAGATAAGCAACAGAAATAAGGCACTACATTTTTACTTCAAAAATATTCCATCAGCATTTGTGAATAAATACCAGTTTGATCTTAACTTTGGGAATCTTACTTGAATCATCTTTAAAGAAGCCCATCCTACCTTGAGATAAGGATATAAAATTTTGATTATTTGGGACCCCAGGTGCCATGCTATGAAACACCGCAGAGAGCCCAGCGTCAGATACCACAAGGCGTTTCAAAGCGGCAACACTGTGTGGAGCTCAGAGTCACAGCTGGCCCCGGGCTGCACGCGGCACTGCTGCTTTGAAGCACCCTTTCCTTCTCCCTGCCCCCACTGCCTCTTTCTGATAGAGGCAAGGGGGCGGGAAGCGACTAGTCATTTACATCCCTAGCTTGAAATGAAAAAAGAGGTTTACAATATTTGCAATTAAAAAAACTATTATTGGCTATATGAGTTTATATTTATGCCCACTTAAAAACTTTCTTATAGTACATACCTATATAGATAATGTTCTACCTCTCGGACTTCTGGTATTGATTCCTCTTCATCAGAAATCTGTCGAGCTTGAAACTTTCGATCTTGGAGGTCATACAACATCACAACAATTAAACTGGTCAATTCATCCGGCTGTAATAAGAAAATAACCATGTAGAGAAATGGAAACAAAGCAGGTCCAAATCATGTAAAGAGATCCACTTCCAGACCCTTACAGTCACAGAAGAACTAGTCTTCCGTAAACCAAATAGGCATGAATAGCAGATTACCTCCAATTCTAATCCAATTCATACCTCCAATTCATCAGGTCAGAGTTGAGGCTCATTCTCAGGATAGTTTGGAACATTGTATCTATTGTATGAATTTCAGTCCCCTGAACTGTAAATCTAGTACAATTCATGTGCACTATATTCAAACATACGCTGTACAAGGGGTAGGTAAGAAATGGTATTTCTTTGTGTGTAAATAAAGTATGTTGACTAGAAAAAATATAGAACTGATCCTCACAACAAACCCATAAATTAGAGAAATATCATTATTTTACTAATCAACTGACTGAGTTACAAAGATATTAGGTAGCCACCCTTTTCCAGATTTAAATATCAGAAATCAGACACCTAAATGCCATACTGAGGCATCTACAAAAGTGTCCTAACTTTTAGAGGATGCACAATAATGTCAAATTGTTTTGAAGTCATAAAGTCAATGGGATATAAGGATGCTTACCCCTTATTAGATACCTAAATTTGACTTTACATGACACTATGAAACCTGAGCACTTAAGTCTCCTGTCTTAACTATAATGCTAACTTTGCTCCTTTAAAGTTCAGCTTAGTTTATTTAATACCTAGCACTGAGAATGTGAAGTTTAGGTTTTATGAAAAGGAGATTACTCACCTCGATAGTAACTGACATTCTTCGAGATGAGTGTCCCCGTGGGTGCTCCACATTAGGTTGGTGTGCCGTAACCAAGCCTCAGAGCGTAGATTTCATAGCAGTGTCCCTGGGGCCACGCAGGCGCACATCAGCAGTCAAGTGCTGTTAGGCTGCAAGCATCGCGCATGCGCGAGCCGCCCCCTCTCGCTCCTCAGTTCCTTCTCTATCCAGAAACCATGGCTTGGGAAGACCAGGATCCCAAAGTAGAGGGGAGGAAGGGAGGGTTGTGGGAGCACCCAGGGAGATACTCATCTCAAAGAACATCAGTTACTATTGAGGTGAATAACCTCTTCTTCGAGACAGAGATGTCCCCATGGGTGCTCCACATTAAGGGTATGTCTACACTGCCACCATAGTTCGAACTAGGGTGGCTAATGTAGGCATTCGAAGTTGCAAATGAAGCCCAGGATTTAAATATCCTGGGCTTCATTTGCATCTTGCTGGGCACCGCCATTTTTAAATCCCCCTTAGTGCGGATTCCGTGCCCGTGGCTACATGCGGCACGGAGTAGGTAGTTCAAATTAGGCTCTCTATTTCGAACTACCGGTACACCTCATTCCACAAGGAGTAACGGTAGTTCGAATTAAGCTCTCCCGTGTAGCCGCGGGCACGGAGTCTGCACTAAGGGGGATTTAAAAATGGCGGTGCCCAGCAAGATGCAAATGAAGCCCAGGATATTTAAATCCTGGGCTTCATTTGCAACTTCGAATGCCTACATTAGCCACCCTAGTTCGAACTATGGTGGCAGTGTAGACATACCCTTAGTGACTACCTGTAGGGAGGTAAGGACTTCGGATCTGGCAAAAAAAGCAGTGGAAAGAACTGCCTTGGCTAGTTTCAGGTTGGAAAGAGGTCCCTGCATAAGTGCATAGTGCTTTGCAAATGTGTGGTCAGAGGACCATGTGGCAGCTGTGCAGATGTCTCTTACGGGTTCTCTACAGAGGAATGCTATCGAGGTACCCATGGCTCTGGCTGAGTGTGCCCTTATGCTCTCTGGAGGGAGCACTTCTGACTATCTGTAGCAAAGCTTGATGTAATCCGAGATCCAATGGGAGAGTCTCTGCAATGAAATGGCCTGGCCCTTATTTTGATTTACTATTGAAACAAATAGTCTGGGAGACGCTCGGAATGGTCTCTTTCACTGCCAATAAAAAGAAACTGCTCTGTACAGGTCAAGAGTATACATTTTCATCTCGAAAGAGTTGGCATGTGGCTTGGGGAAGAAGGTGGGAAGATGTATTGTTTGTTTGATATGGAAGGATGAGTGTACTTTGCGGAGGAATTTGGGATGGGTACGTAAAGTGACCTTGTCTTTAAAAAAGGTGGTGTATGGAGGATCCACCATTAGGGCCGCAATCTCTCTTACCAATCTGGCCAAGGTAATAGCTACCAGGAAAACAGTTTTCATAGGCAAGTGTAATAATGAGGTGGTCACCATTGGTTCGAAGGGCAGCCTAGTTAGAGAATTCAATACTAAATGCAGGTCCCATGATTATACTGATAGATTGATATCTGGATAAAGTACCTGAAGGCCTTTTAAGAACCTCTTGGTGAGTGCATGAGCAAATATGGATAAGTCTTCCATCTTGGAGTAGAACATAGTAATGGCCACAAAGTGAACTTTAATGCAGCTTACTGTGAGGCCTGCTTGTTTAAGGTGCAGAAGATAGTCAAGGACAGTAGGTAAGGGGAATGTTGAGGAACCAGCTGGTGACAAGCATATCACGTCGAGAATCTTTTCCATTTCTGAAGGTAAGTCTTGTGGGTGCTCTGTGCCCTACTTTATAGAAGGACCATTTGTACTTGATGTGAGCAGGTCAACTCTAGGTCAGAGAACCATCCAGGAGCCACACCTTCAAGTGTAGTGAGTGGAGGTTCAGATGGGCATCATGGGAGCCCAGGTGAAGGAGATCCCTGATGCAAGGTAAGTGGATCAGTGGGGCATAGGACACCGCCGCTAGGAAGGAAACCATGGCTGGCATGGCCCTGCTGGTATCGTAGTATCATAAAGCTGGAAGAGACCTCAGAAGGTCATCAAGTCCAGCCCCCTGCTCTAGGCAGGACCAATCCCAACTAAGTCAACCCAGCCAGGGGTTTGTCAAGCCGAGACTTAAAAACCTCTAGGGATGAAGACTCCACTACTTCCCTAGGTAACCCATTCCGGTGCTTTACCACTCTCCTAGTGAAATAGATTTTCCTAATATCCAACCTGGACTTCTCCCACCACAACTTGAGACTATTGCTCCTTGTTCAGCCATCTGTCACTACTGATAACAGCCTTTCTCCATCCTCTTTGGAACTTCCCTTCCAGAAGTTGAAGGCTGCTATCAAATCCCCCTCACTCTTTGCATCTGCAGACTAAATAGACCCAACTCCCTCAGCCTCTCCTCAGAGGTCATATGCTCCAGAACCCTAATAATTTTGGTTGCCCTCCACTGGACACTCTCCAATGCATCCACATCTTTTTTGTAGTGGGGGGCCCAGAACTGAATGCAATACTCCAGATGTGACTTTACCAGAGCCAAATAAAGGGGAATAATCACTTCTCTGGCTCTGCTGGCAATGCTCCTCCTAATGCACCCTAATATGCCATTAGCCTTCTTGGCTACAAGGGCACACTGTTGACTCATATCCAGCTTCTCATCCACTGTAACCCCCCAGGTTGTTTTCTGCTGAACTGCTACTTAGCTGGTTGGTCCCCAGCCTGTAACAATGCTTGGGATTCTTTCATCCCAAGTGCAGGACTCTGCACTTCTCCTTGTTGAACCTTATCAGATTTCTTGTGGCCCATTCCTCCAATTTGTTTAAGTCACTCTGGACCCTGTATCTGCCCTCAAGCGTATCTACCTCTCCCCCTAGCTTAGTGTCATCTGAAAACTTGCTGAGGGTGCAATCCATCTCCTCATCCAGGTCATTAAGAAAGATATTGAACAAAACCGGTCCTAGAACCGAACCTTGGGGCACTCCACTAGAAACTGACCGCTGGGCCCGGCCTTCTAGCCATCTTTCTATCCATCTTACTGTCCATTTATCCAATCCACATTCCCTTAACTAGCTGGCAAGAATACTGTGGGAGACTGTATCAAAAGCCTTGCTAAAGTCAAGGTATATCACATCCACTGGTGATATAAGTATGAGACGGGCCTGTCCCTCCTTATCTTGTGAACTACCTTGTTCAATAGGAGAATCAGAAGAAATATGTAGAATAGGTGAGGTGTCCATGTGATGAGAAAGGCATCCCCCATCGATCCCTTGCCTATTCCTACCATGGAACAGAATAGAGGGCATTGACTGTTGGACAGTGTGGCAAACAGATCTATGGTAGTGTGACCCCATAGGTGGAAGATGTCTGCCAATATGTGTGGGTTCATTTGCAATTTGTGCTCAACCAGGAGGGCTCTTCTGAGTGCATCTGCCATTGTATTCAGGGCATCTGGAAGATGCACTGCAGTGATAATTGTGTTGTATTTCAGACACCAGTTCCAAAGTGCTATGGCCTCTGTGCAGAGTGCTTGAGATTGGGCTCCACCCTGATGGATTTATGTAAAACATTGCTGTGCTGTTGTCTATGTACAGTCTCATGTGTCCGTTGGCGATGAATGGGAGAAATTTGACATATGCATTCTTGACTGACTGCAGTTCTAGGATGTTTATGGGCAAATTCTTGTCGGTGCTGAATCACAGGCCCATGACAACGCAGATGAGCACCCCGTCCTGTATGAGATGCATCTGTCATCATAGAGACGGATGGTTGTGATGGAGACTCCAGAACACAAGTTTCGTGGGCTAGGCCACCAGCGTAAGGATTCCATTACTATTCCTGGAAGAGCAAGGGATTTGGATAGCGGATGGACATTGGGTTTGTACACCTGTCCCAGCCAGCTCTGTAAGCATCTCATGTACAGATGGGCATTGCTGACTACAAAGTTGCACGCTGCCATGTGCCCCAACAGCCAAAGGTATTCGAGTGCTGTTGTGTGCGGGCTGAATCGTAAGGTATTTACCGAGGCCACAATTTTTTGAAAACGGTCTGTAGGTAGGGATGCGGTGGCCATTGTCAAATCAAGGCATGCACCTATCAACTGTATATTTTGTGTACCACTGCTGAGGCGCCTGCGAACGTAGTCAGTGCTGCGTTCTCATGTTGTGTCAGCAAGATCGTATCATTGCTGGATGGTGCTGCAGCCAATGAGGCAGGCATCTTGAAGCCTGTCGCCTCAGAATGAGATTTAGCGCATGAGCGCTGTCAGTCTCCACTGGCGGTATCATACGTGCTGAGGTGCAGTGCCACTGGTGCTCTTGGTACCGGCCGTGATGAGGATGGCCGTTTTGGTGACATAGCCCCTTGAGGTGCTGAGGTGGATCACTTTTTGGATCCCCACTGTTTGAGTTCCTTGGACTGTTGGCCTGGATCAGAAAGTTTTCTAATAAAAATAATTTGAGCCAGAGGTCTCTGTCTTTCCATGCCCGCGATTTTAGCTTTGTGCAGTGAGGGCATTTCTGAGAGATATGCTGCTCTCCAAGACAGTGGAAGCATTGTGAGTGACCATCCAAAAGCAGAATATGCTTTTTACAGGAGGTGCAGCGTTTAAAGCCAGGTGATCCAGGCATGCCTGTGTAAGCAGTCAGAGACTGCAGGGAGAGATTAACTGGGAGAAAAAGAAGAAAGCCCCTATACTAATTAAGATTTTTTTCTTTCTTTTCTTCTCTTTTTTTTCTGTAAACTAACGAAGTAAACAACTATTTAAAACTCACTAACTATTATAATTAATTTAACTGGTTTTAAAAAGTATAATCATGAAGATGCGAAGAAGCTAGGGAGCACTGCTCAGTCCATCAATTGCTGGAGGCAGTAGAGAAGGAACTGAGGAGTGGGGGAGGCATGCGCGATGCCTGCAGCCTAACAGCGCGTGACTGCTGGCCTATGAGGCCCCAGGGACGCTGCTATGAAATCTGCTCTAAGGCTTGGCAGTAGTGCACCAACGTAATGTGGAGCACCCACGGGGACATCTCTCTAAGAAAAAGTATACAGATTTCCCACCCTCTGAGTGAAATTTTCCTCATTGCATTTTTAGAAAGCTGTCAATGAGTGCCTCCCCCATCTCACCCCAAAAAAAAGGTTTAAAAAGCAACTTCTGAAAAAAGGTTGGAAGAATGGTGTCTTTAGTCTAAAAGATATATGAAACATAAGTTTTACATATCTGAAAGGGCTGTTACACTTGTGGACAGGAGGCATAAGACAAGAAGACCTTAGTTCAGGGGTTAGCAACCTATGGCACGCATGCCAGAGCTGATTTTGAGCAGCATGTAGCAGCAGCTCAGCCCCTCCTCTCCCATGCAGCAGTGTGCCTGTGCTGTCGCTGGAGACTTCCCTCTTCCCCTGAGCCTAGCGGCGGTGGGAGGAGGTAGTGCTGGGGCTGAAACAGTGCTGCCTCTGGGGCCAGCCCAGGAACTGTGTGGCCACGGCAGTGGCACCTCCGGCCTCTGGGGCCAGCCCAGGAACTGCATAGCTGTGGTGCCTCTGGGGCCAGCTGGGAACTATGTGGCTGCAGCTGCAGCACCTCTGACCTCTTCAGCTGCCACCCAGGACAGCTGGGAAGTCAGCACATTGCTCTGGCCCCAGCTTCATCCCTGGGGAAGGCTGGACCTGGGGCAGTGGTGTGGCATGGGAGTGCCAGGGAGCTGCTGTGGCGGTGGCTGCTGCTGCAGCGGGGGATCGGGGTATTGTTTTTTCTGCCATCATTACTGGTGGAGCGGTGCTGGAGACAGAGGCTTGTGTGCTACTTAAAAGTATCAAACTACGAGCCTGAGATTGGAGAACTTAGCAAGGGAAAGCCAGGCCAAGAATCATACTAAACGGTAAGATTTGCATCTTACTTTATTTATTAACGAAGCTGCTAAAATGTAAGCAGGACTATTATTGACTTTAAGAAGTATCAATGGCATGCAGACCTGTAAACAGAAGTTAGTTAAATCTTGGCACGACACTTCTGAAAGGCTGCCAACCCATGCCTTAGTTTGTAACCGGGGAGATTTAGGTTAGCTAGTGGGAGAATTTTTGAAACTATAAGGATAATTGAGCACTGCAACAAGTTCTCTGGAGTCATTTAAGAACACATCAAACAAACACTCTTTAGAGGTGATCTAGGTATACCTAGTCCTGATTGTGTGTGTATGACACACACGTAAGTGATGGATGGGCAGGAGGAGGGCATGGACCTCTTGCGGGCTATTCCCGCTGTTCCAACTGTACATTTCTAAGATTTCATGATCTAAAGTCAAAGAAATAATGAAAGTTACTTGGATGTTAGCTCATCAATATGATGACCCAAAATAAATGTATAAAATATGGAAGTTGTTATAATAGGCTTTCCCCTCTCAAATGGCATTCAGTCACTATCACCACCTTGGCATTCCCTTCTGTTTGTAAGAAGATATAAATAGCTGTAGAATAACTCATTTATCTGAGTGTCAGTTTTCAGAAAAAGACACTTTAATTTCCCACTGCTATGGGGTCTTCCGGTTGCAATACCGCAAATCTTTCTCTGCCCAAAAAGTCACAATAGCTCCCCCCACCCATATGCTGAACGCTAAAATATGCTGCTGACAGGCTAAAGTGGAACATTAACTGCTGCTGTTTATTCAAACTATCTCCTTCAAGTAATTGTGGTTCAACTTGCTGACTTAATAATTGAGCATATGGAGTTCAAGAATTTTTAGTAACTCTTTAGTGTAAATTTGCTCACCTTTTTATAAGATTATTTTATAAATGTATCGATAATTTTGTCTACTGAAGCTTCAGGGGGTAGCCAAGTTAATCTGTACAGGATCAATTTTAAAAAAACAACAAATAGTCTGGTAGCACTATAAAGACTAACAAAACATGAAGATGGTATCATGTGCTTTCGTGGGCACTGCCCACTTCTTGAGATGACCAGGACCAAAATAAATAGGGGAAAAGGGAAGGAGGGTGGAAGAAGGAAAAATGGGAGGCAGGGAACAAGAAAAGGTAGTGGGTAAAAAATATCAAGGGGAAAGCCGAGCTGGAATGAAAGTTATTGATATATCTATAATGATGAAAATTTCACTCAGAGTGCCATGAGTGCTATTAAATTAACTCAAAATTAAGGGTGTAATAAACTTTAGAACATTTTCAAAACTTCTTAGTTTAAGTATTCTCTTCAATATTCTTGCTTTTCAAAGTTGTCGAACTCTTATGTGGCTATAAATGGCTGAATTTTCAGTAAGAGTGGGTTCCTTTACACAACTATTTTAGGCATTTATAATTGTCTTCCCCTTCACACACATAGATGAAAATCTATTCTGGTGAAACAACAGGTCTAAATTGTATGAAGCTTCAAAATGTAAAATAACGTATAAGTACTTCAAGATCCTTCAGAATGGAAAAAAATGCTAGATACATGTAAAAATGGACTACATTACAAAATAGCTTGTTTTCTAACAGTTACTTACTATTGACTGACATGGGTAAAAGCAGCTATCTAACAATATATTTTCAAGAAGATCTTGATCTGCAAGAGAAGAAAATATTGGTAAAATATATTTGTAGAATACTGTGACATTTGAAGTATCTCATATATAGTAGCCCAATGTCTGTGACTCTGTAACGCTGAAATGCTGGCTGTTCCCTCTAGGAAGCGATGTTGCCTCCCTGGCCGTTCCCTCTGGGTGGCGCTGTTGCCTGAGTCACGTCCTTCGCCTCCCTCCATGGCGCTTGGTTGACTTCTGCACCGCTCAGGTGGGCCACCGCAGGGGAGCAAGCAGTCGTGGTCCTCATGCAGCACAGGGATGCTGCATGGGGAGCATGGGGTCCAAATGGCCGCTTGCTCCCCCTCAGTGGCCCGGCTGAGCGGCACAGAAGTCAGCTGAGCGCCACGGTGGGAGGCGAAGGGGGGCGGGGCGGTGACATGTTGCGTGACAGCGGCACCAGGCCCTGCCCCCTGGCCGTGAACATAACTGTCCCGCCCCCCTTCGTCTTCTGCCGTGGTGCTCAGCTGACTTCTGCGCCGCTCAGCCAGGCCGTCGCGTGGGAGCAAGTGGCGCAAGCGACCGTTTGGGCTCCGTTCTCCCCATGCAGCACGGGGAGCATGGAGCCCAAATGGCTGTTTGGGCTCCACGGTCCCCTGAGTAAGAGGCAGGAGGAAGAGGAGAAGAGAAATAGAGAGTGAGAGGCAAAGGGGGAAAGAGAAGAGACAGAGAGAGAGGCAGGAGGCAGAGGAGAGCTGGTGGGGAGGAGGCAGTAGGAGGAGGAGGGAGAGAGAGAGAGACAGAGGGAGAGACCGGAGGCTCAGGAGAGAAGACCGACATGGAGGAGAGACCTGAAAATCCCATCTTATGGTGGGCTAATTGGTTAGTAAGTCAATAAAATTCATAACCAAGGCAAAATTGAAGAATAAATTAGTGGATTAAAGACACAGAAAGTTGTTTAAAATCTTGTGATTTTGCTTAAAATGCAAAAAGTATAATATCAAGATAGCTAAATTCAGATGACATTCATGTCAGAGTATTTTAATTTCAGTGCAAAACATTTTAAAATGTATATTCGGCCACATGTATAACTTAAATGCTTAAATTTATAAGTTCATGAAAATTATACAGGTGTCCTGATCCCTTAAGTTTCTCAATATAGCAATTTCTACTTTATAGACTTCCCAATAGAGGCTCTCTAACTTCCAGTGGAAGGCAAAAAAAAGAAAAAATTCCAGCTGCCATCTACACTCTGAGCTACAGAGGTGGAATGGCTTCAGTTCTCTCCCCTTCTGGAGACATAGGGTGGAATCTTGGCCCCACTGAAGTCCATGGCAAAATTGATATCAATGGCATCAGTGGGGTCAGAATTTCACTCATCATTTTTAGAAACCCTGGGAATGAGAAGTATATGATGCACCTTGGAAGTGAGAATGGTAGATGGCATTCCCAACTCTAGGGCTCAACATCCACTAATTGTTGCTTCAGACTTTTTTTGTGCACAGCACTTCCAAGATAAATCTATTTTCTTAAGAAGGAAATAGATTTATATTATTGCACTGTATCTGACTATTACTTAAACCCCACACATAAACCATGGACAGAATATTTTTCTTAGTACCTTTGACTCAACTAATCTACAATGGTATCTAGCAATAGAATGGTATGCATGACAATTAATGATGTCTTTGCCCATAAAGGAGAGACAGCATGAAACAATGCCCATCCCCATTCAAATGTGTTGATACTACAGGTTGAACCTCTTTAAACTGGGACTCTTTGGTCATGCAATATCTGTAGTCCAGCAGGACCACGGATGTTTCAGCAAGGCCGGCGGCAGGAGGGGAGCCAGCTAGGAGGCCAGTATCTGGGCCAGGGGGCGGGGCAGAAATTACCTCCCCTAATATGGCAAAATCCCTCATCTGGGATGAGCCAGGTCCCGAGGTGCTGCACCAGGGAGGTCTAACCTGTACAAAGTTGTTTGACATCACTAAGTGGCTCCAGTCATCTTTGCCCACTGTTGCATGTGCCTTCAAGCAACTGAAAGGACAAGATAGCCTCCTGCTGCTATCCATGAACTTCACTTTATGCTACCAAAAGCACTGCTTTTACTATTTTACAATGAAGAAATCTGTCCAGTTCTGGTACCCTTACATTAAGCAATACCTTATTAAAGGAGTCTGTTCATACTTGTAACTGCCAGTCATTTACTCACTCTTAAGTAACAGGTGCAGAGTTGGAAAGCTAAGAAAGGGGTTCCTAATTTCTGTTGAGAAACGTCAATTTTTCTTCTACTACAGTATTTTTGGGTTGGGGATAGAAGGAAAAGAGGACATTCTCACTGGGCCCTTTATTTGTGACAACTCTGTTATGCATTTCCATTGGTAAGGAGACTAAGAGGGGTATTCATATTCTTAGATTTCTGCATACAGGCAGGAAGATTTAGGGTATATCTTGAATTAATCTATTTTATGGTTTCAAATATTAAGCACTTCAATAACCAATCAATTCTTTTGCTTTTGTTTGGCTTCTTCAGGACCACAGGTATCTGGGTCAGAATTTGTGGCTTCAGTGAAAGGTTGGAGGCTAAGACTCTTCCTTCCATGACTTAACCTGCTTGCTAGTCTCCTCCACTGAGATTACTCAAGTTAGATCTGAGACAGATTCAGACCAGTAGTTTTCATTGCAGAAAACAGCAAACTGTCTTTGATTTTCATGCTAGTTTGGGGAGAAGTATTGTGCCTACTGCAGAAACACCACCACTGAAAGCACTGATAAAGCACACATTAGCTCTATCCTTTTAAAGGGCATTGTTTGTCTGGGCCAGCCAAGCTCTGCTAACCAGAATGGAAGGGAAGATACAGGCAGTCCCCGGGTTACGTACAAGATAGGGACTGTAGGTTTGTTCTTAAGTTGAGTTTGTATGTAAGTCGGAACTAGTACATATTGTAGGGGAAACTCTAGCCAAACATTTCTCCAGAGCTCAGTTTTATTCTCCCACATCTCACTTCCCTAAGTCCTTTATTCTCAAGCTGAGGTGTCTGCTGAGAAAAGCCGCTCCGCGTCTCCCTGGTCTGCTGGGGGGGGGGGGGGTGCTGGGAGGAAGCAGCTAGTGCGGGGTTGCCTCACTCCATTTGTAAGTAGGGATCCGATGTAAGTCGAATCCATGTAACCCGGGGACTGCCTGTATATTGATAGGCTCCAACTCTTTGGGATACCTGTCCAAATCCAGGGAGATAAACATCCTGTAGCCTCCTTTCTTCTTTGCCCACTCCATTAACATCTATGCAACGCAATTTAACTCTTGTTTATAAACAAGGCAGTGAAAAACAATTCAGTTTTCTGAATTTTCCAGAAAGCAATTTCCATTGTTAGTTACTGTCTGTTCCTTTGAATGTGCTTAAATTAACCTTTTTCCTGTTTAGTGTAAGGATGTTAAAATTAATCAACTAATCAAATAATCAATGGAATTCCCATTGACTATTTGATTAGTCAATAAGGACGCTTCCGTTTTGAAATGTAGCAAGAGACTGCCTGGCACTCCACCTTTGAAATGTACAAGAGCTCCAATAGGGGTTCTTGTGCATTTCAAAGATTGAAAAACTGCATGGAGCCAAGGACCAGCGGGGGACTCCGGGTCCCCTGCTGGCCCTAGACTCCATGCAGTGTTTCCACTGAGTCCCTGCACCCCCTCCCACAGAGCTGGAGCTGAGGGGAACCGGCTTTTAAGACAACTCCCCCCAGTACCTCCTTCCTCTTCCCCTCTTTGCTGCCTCTTTCTGATAGATGCAGCATGGGGGGGAAGCAACTAGTTTGTGCACAAGACTTTTTAGAAGAAAGTTTCTAGGAGATAGTCTTAAGATGTTTCAAGACTATACTTTACTTTTTGTTCATTGCATTTTCTGGCACTCTGATCCCCTCATTAATAAGAAATCTTTTTGTTCCTACCTCAGAAGAAATACTGAATTGCCATGAATAAAAAGTAACAGTTCCTTAAGTTTCTTTTAGATTCAGAGCTGGGTGAAAGATGCCTGTGCTATATCTTTAAGATGAGAATGTCACAATAGCAAAAAGACGATGGAATGTACTTCTGTTTCCATTCCTCAAATGTCTACGGTTTAATTCTGAACTTTACCCAATGAAAGTTTATTAGTATTTGGTCAGGAAAAATTATTATTTTCTATTTGATAAAGGGAAACTATGATTGAGCATCTGCCCCACACTATCACTATAAGGGTTAAAACCCATACCTGGGAGAGGGCTGAGATGGTGGAGCCTGCAGTTGAGGTATAACCAATTAGGGGCCCAGCTGGAGTGGAGGAGAGAGCACTCTTGATCTAGGTGGATTGCCTAGAAGCTAGAGGCTTCCTGAAAGGGTACATCTCTAGACAGTGATGCTATTTTGGGATATGTCCAGTATCCTGAAATAGCATTTTCTGCATCTTAACAACAAGCCCATTATTACAAAATATATTCGAAACAGGCTTGCTATTCCAACGTCCCAGTAAACCTCATTCCATAAGGATTAAGGGACTTGTCGTAATAGCGGTCCATTTCAAAATAAACTATGCAATTTGTGTAGCTCGAATTATGTAGCTTATTTCGAGCTATACAGCACTGTACAGATGTACCCAAACAGAGTAGAACTAGGGAAAGGCAGGCAGAGCTGGTGAGCTCTGGTCTGACCTCACTCCCAAGCTGCAGGGCCTGAGGCAAGACTTGAGAGTACTAGGGCTGCAGGGAGACACCCAGGATAGGAGGAGACAGCAGGTCTACACCCCTCTGCCAATGAGTGGCCATTTTAAACTGCAGTTTTCCCCTGAGGCAGGGTCTAGAAGATGCCTGGTAGTGGGTCAATAAGATAAGGTGGGTATAGAGGAAATGGGGGTCACCTGGGAGGGAAGGACCCTAGTGTGTCAGGGCACCAACATAGGACAGTACTAGGAGGAAAGGACACAGTGGGCAGGAGGGACACTGAGCTGAACCAACAGAAGACCTGCCACAGAGGCTTGGACACTGACAAAGAGGGCACTCTGAGGCAGGA